AGAACAGGCTTTCCCCCGCAGCACGCCGTGTAATAAATGCTCACAAAGGAAACAGCAGCCGATACAACATATGTCTAAAAATGTGTAGTTTCATATAAAACACAAAGACTCCACGTTTATGGACACCACAGCAGTGTGTATCTCAATATGCATTATGAAATTATTTTGGGATACCTAAGACAAGTAGAAGTGTAAAGAAGTTCTGGACATCAGTATAATACTGTACATTTTGAATTAATGCAGGTGTTGAATATGCACATTGTACACAAAACAGTAAAAAAGCACATTAAAAACAGTTTACTGTTACACACCTCATTTCTTCTTTAAATCCACACCATCTTTGACTGTCAGTGCCTCTACCTTTCATGCTAACTAACATGCAGCCCTCGTACTCCTGGGTTGTATTCGTGACCCAGATCAAAGTACACAGATCAATTGTTATCTTTTTTAAATAAATAATAAAATATTTTAAATAGAATATACTAAATATATTAGAAAATGTGTTGTTTTAATGAAGTGCAACAGTGCAGTTTCTACACTACGTGGATTTTCATGTGTGTTTTAAAACTGTACTGATGTCTGAAACTTTTACCACAAAATTCACAGTCAAATGGTTTTTCTCCAGTGTGGACTCTCATGTGTATCTTTAGATTTCCCTCCCGGTTGAACGTGTTACCACAAACGTAACAGCTAAATGGTTTCTCTCCCGTGTGGACCCTCATGTGTATCTTTAGATTTCCCTCTCGGTTAAATATGTTACCACAAACGCCGCAAACAAACCGTTTCTCTCCTGAGTGAACCGACATGTGCCTCCTCAGATTACATCGATATCTGAACGGTTTACCACAGTGATCACAGACAAATGGTTTCTCCTCTGTGTGAATTCTCATGTGTCTCTTAAGATCAGTCTTGTGGTAAAACCTCTGTCCACAGGCTTCACAACTAAAGGGCTTCTCCCCTGTGTGTACTCTTATGTGTAGTTTAAGGTTTGCCTTATGGTTAAATCGTTGTCCACATTCATCACAGCCAAATGGTTTCTCCCCCGTGTGGACTCTCATGTGTCTGGTAAGATTTGTCTTTCGGCTAAACCTTTGTCCACAATCGTCACACCTGAATGGTTTTTCATCTGCGTGAACTTTTGTGTGCATCTTCAGATTTCCTTGATATCTAAATCTTTTACCACACTCAGTACAACCAAATGGTCTCTCTCCCGTGTGGACTCTCATGTGTATTCTAAGATCTTTCTTTTGGTTAAATCGTTTACCACAATCGTCGCATCCAAATCGTTTCACCTGAGAATCGACACTTTGCTCCACTCTACAAATTTTCTCATTAACCAAACAGTTGGAAGACCTTTTTTCTGAATGACATGTCACGTGTTTCTGAAGAGACTGCTTGCAGACAAACTGTTCTCCACTCTCAGAGCAGCTTAGAAACTTTTTTGCAGCATTACATCTCACATCATTATTTACACCTGACTCAGTTATTGTGCTGTCATTCAGCCGACTGTCGCTTTCATCAGCTTCAGGTCCACAATCTGACAAAGGTTCCTGCCAATCATCGTCCTCACTGACTTCAGTCTTTTCAGACTCTGAGGCCTCTCCATCAGTACTTGATTTTAAAGGAGTATCTGGATGGGGGTGTCTGACTGGATCCGGTGAAGAATAATTTCCTATTTTTATCTGTTCAGCTGAGCTGCTAGCTGGAGGCTCTGTCTCTCTGCTGTTTTCAGTTTGGCTTTGATGAAGCGTTGAGAACTGAGGTTTCTCATCATCATCTTCACTTTTCACATGAACAGCAGTGAATGGGAACCCAGAGATATTGTCCTCCAGCCCACTGAGCTGTTCTCCCTCTTGACTTTTCCAGAATTCCTCCTGTTCCTCCTTTATGTGAAGAAGCTCTGAGTCATGATGGTCCAGACTGAGACTGCATTCATAGGGAACCTCTTCTTTTATCACCAACAGCTGCTGGACATCTGCAGCAAACACTGAAACACACACACACTCATAATGAACAATGGCAGCTAGCTCAATGTGCATGTTAAACAGTTTTTTATTTTCATTAGTCCCACATCTCAAAGCGTCACTCTAAAACATCCCGTTTTAGAGTGACGCTGAAAACCTAGTTCATGTATTTATTGTGACTGTAATTTATTATTATCAGGATGTCCTAAAAACTGCATGAAAAGTCTGTATTTGATCCACAATGCTGCAGTGAGAGTACTGACAGGGACTAGAAAGAGAGAGCTTATTTCTCCTATATTGGCTTCTCTTTATTGGCTCCCTGTTAAATTCAGAATCAAATTTAAAATCCTGCTTCTCACATACAAGGTCTTGAATAATCAGGCCCATCTTACCTTAATGACCTCATAGTACCGTATCATCCCAACAGAGCTCTTTGCTCTCAGACCGCAGGTTTACTTGTA